CATGTATATAGACATGTATATAGACATGTATATAGACATGTATATAGAACATGTATATAGACATGTATATAGAACATGTATATAGACATGTATATACACATGTACATAGAACATGTATATAGACATGTATATAGAACATGTATATAGACATGTATATAGACATGTATATAGACATGTATATAGAACATGCATATAGACATGTATATAGAACATGTATATAGAACATGTATATAGAACATGTATATAGAACATGTATATACACATGTATATAAAACATGTATATAGACATGTATATAGACATGTATATAGACATTTATATAGAACATGTATATAGACATGTATATAGAACATGTATATAAAACATGTATATAAAACATGTATATAGACATGTATATAGAACATGTATATAGACATGTTTATTAACTGTTGAAGTCTTTGAATTTTGTATACTTCTCGCGTTGTTAACGTTTTGGTTTGCAGGAATTATGCATGTAATTATCAAATAAGTGAGTGCAGGAGGAATAAGTAGATAAAATGGCTAAGATACTGTATAAATATATATATATAGGTGATACACTATGTATATATACAGGTTTTCTTCGTACAGGGGTTTATCAAATTTATCATTTCATGTTTTATTTACCTATGCATTGAAAACAGAACGTGTTTAATATTTTTTATCGGAAACAAAACCCAACCTTGAAATCTGAATGCGGTAGTTCAGTATCAAAATAAAAAAAATAGCGTTAATATTAGTTTCGTAATTTTCACTGTCTTTCCTTAGCAATGTCTGGCTATATTGCGAAATCAGCTTACATTTTAATATTATGATACAATCAAGTGTTAGCTATCCTTTAGTGTGTCTGAAAAATGCCGACCTTCAATGCCAGGCGCGGATTTAGGGGGGGGGGGGGCACACCCGGCCCCGGCCCCCTTTTTGGCGGCGGACTGACCTTTTCCGGGACGACCAATAATGGTCTGATCGGCCGGGAATGGGAACGTATTAACATTTTAAAATGCATCAAATAATGCACGGAGCTGGTATAAAAAAAAAATCTGGGGCTATGCCCCACACATCCCATACGGCATCCTAGCAAATATTGTGGGTTTCCGTTATCTGATATTTTACTATATTTTCTTTATTAAAACAATATTTGTTGGCATCGCTACGCTCGTCTACTTTGTATCTTGACCCTGAAGTGTGTGTTTTATTTTACCACCTCCGCAAAACCCAAAGTTGCAACTTGCAACGCTCGGAGCATAATTATATTATTGACCGCTCGTTATAGATGATCTGAAAATTAATACTTTTTATTGTAACCTTCCTAACCGCCCGGGCGATATTAATCATATCATTATACAAGAACGATAAAGG